ACCACAAAGACCCAATGTTTACCTGAAGAATGACGTAGTTTCACTGTTTGTTTGATTTATGTACTGACACCTTTTAGCCTTTACATGGACGCAGTGAGAGATTTCTCCTCTTACTGAGCAACACTGTCTTCATGAGGGCAGTTCCTCCTTGAGCCTGTCTCTTGTAGAGTCATGCCAAGACAGTGCCTGTAGGAAAATCTTAACAGCTTACATGCTGCCAGCAGTAGCATGTAAGTCAGCAGAGAAATAACAGTCAGCAGAGACATCTCTGAAAAAGCTGAGGATACAGTCCAGTTGAAGGCCTTGTGCTTGTGTTGTTTTGTTTTCTGTAATATTCTCCTTCCTGACCCATACCTTCTTGCTGAAGAATACTGTGGTACCTAACACAGGCATAAAGCCTTCCCTGCTTTACAGTGTTCACTGTGTCTTCCATTTTTTCCCATCCTCGCAGAAAAATGAACCCCATGGTGTATTAAAGTTTCTCCAGAGGCATCTAGTGTGGATTAAAATTATTTTTAATGAGATACATGATCTAACACTCTCTTGAGACCAAGAAGATGTCATGCTGCTGGTCTTCAGAGCCACACTGAAAATCAGTCTGAGCCCACCATTCCTGGTTTGTTTAGAAACTGTCACAGGTAGGGAAGTCCTAGGAAGTGGCTCTTTCCCAGTGTCATTTGTGGTATTGTCTGTCAGGCTATTAGAGAAAAGCTGGGGGGAGTCTTCTTGAAAAAAGTAGTGTCTGACATTTAGAAACCACTTTAGATAATCCCCCACAGCCCACCTTGCTTTCTTAACTCTTTCAGAAAAAAAGTAGATAATGGCTAGTATGTGCCTTTCTAGTCCTTCCAAGCCAATATGCAGCACTTTAAGCACAAGGATTGCAGGTCCTAGCAGACATTCTGAGGACTGAGGAGAAAAAAAAAAAAAGTGGATGGACATGATGGTTAACTTTTTTCACTTAATTTAGGAATGGAAGCCTTTTTCAGCAAGAAGATGGAAAGAGCAACTCGGCTAGATAATGTCACTGTAAGGTTTAGTACTATTAACATGGAGACCTGTAACACTAATCCTGCTGTGCAGAAATTACTAGTAGAGTGATATTAAACAACACGGGGAAAGAGTACATACTTCCATTATCACAGCTACATAATCATAATTTGGGGTACTTACACCTCTAAAAATTAGGTTATAGTGATATTGTGTATCCTTAAATGATAAAAGGAATAAGCTTGCATTGTGAAGGGAAGGTCATGTACTTGCATTTAACCAAACAACTTACCTGCCCCATAAAAATATCTAATTATTGCCTGCACTAATTATTCTATGGCAAAATTGGTGTATTATCTAAGTTTTAATCCTGTCTCACTGAGGTATGTTTGAACTCATAATACTGCCAAATCCCTCTCAGCTTTCCAGTGACCCAGCTAATTTTGGAATGACTTTTTTAGTTTGTGTGTTTGGTTTATTTTAAGCCTTTTTCAGCATAACATGATGCAGCCATAGGGCTGTAGCTACCAGGAGGCTGTCTTCTGGTGCCAGCACCCTTGGTAGAGGTGGTTACATCTAGACATTACTTTCAAAGAAGCTGAATTTGTGGCCATGGACAGCATGACTTTGATAATGCAACTGTCACTATACAGGAAGACTGGGACACCTTTGGTGGACATGGAGTGGGAGGAACACTGAAGCCCTGGTGGAAGGTGTGTTCAGGGAAGTAAGAACACAGGTCAGGAATCAGATTTGGGGGGTTTAGGTAAAGAGGACGTAAAGAGGCAAAGGTTGTGCAGTTGAATATTAAGGGGTATAGGTAACAACTCTGTGACAAAATGGCTTGGAAATGGTGTGAAACAGAGACCCTTTTGTAGCAACCACTGCTGTTTGTGTTGCCATGATTTTGTGTTCTACAGTTTGTAGGGCTGGCTATGCAGGCAGAGTTTCCTGAGGCAGTTCAGTTCTTGAGGAAGCACCAGCTGTTTTGTGCCTCCCTAGGGCTCCTCATCCCCCTCTGCCTATGCTATAGGAAGGAAGGGCAGATGAGCTAAGGAACAAGTACTCTCAGTTACTGGTATTCTAAAATATTTTACAGACTATTGTGATTGCTGATCCACTTTCTAGTGAAGAGAAAAATCTTTTAATAGAGAAAAGATTAGTAACTGGGTTTTTTTTGAGAGTTTCAGATGCGTGAGAATTGATTACTTAAAAACATATCTAACTAAATACAGTGATTGAAAATTTTCTGCATGGCTTATGTCTTATCTATTAATGAGAAAGCCAATATAAACAGTCTTGCCATATAAAAATCTTTATAGCCCACTCAGATCTGTTTTTGCAACATTACTGCAAGCAAGATGTGTAACTAATAAGAGAGCTTAAATGTTCATTGTTGTTCCTTTTATAGCACAGAAACAGAAAATGGCCAGCTGTAAAAGATATGGATCCTACTGAAACACAAATGCCTATCATCTCCTCTCAAATGTGGCATAGCATAAGTGAATTTTGTATTTTAATGGCTTGGAGATTTTGCTGATGTTGACTTTTCCTTCTGAAATTACCATACAAAAGTTCACAGAAGTATACATTAAAAAAATTTAAAAACCACTAAAAACTGTCTTTATGGGTGGCTTGGTTTATTATTTAAGTCTTAATTTGTGGGTTTGCTTTCTTGAGTTTGATAATGCAAGTACTGGATTTTCATAGTAGAAGTTAATTTAATTGCTATTTTTGTTATATCCAACCTTGCTGTCAATGAATCTGTCAGTTCTGCACTGTTTTGAGTGAAGGCCGGCTGGATGAAGTACATCAAAATCAATGGAAAGCCTGGTTTAAAGGCAATGTGTAAAAATCTCAGAATTGCTTGTGTTTCTTTAGGTTGATGATTGTGTTTTTTTCTGTGTGTTTCTAGTAGTATCATTCAAATATTTTGACTTTAATTATTCATATTAACTAGCATTTAAATAGAAAATAAGTAAATGTGAAGAGAGACAAACTAGTATATCTGAGAAAGAAGGATGACAGATGGATGAAGCAATTTCAGAGACTACATGGTCACCAAGATAAAAAAAAAGTTAAAACTTCCCTCTGTAAATTAAGTACTTTTAATCTTATCAACACTTTTATACATGGTCTGGCCTGTGAAAGGGTTTGAGATGAAATGGGGAGAAAAAATACTGGAAGTTGGAAGAATGTCTGAGTATGATACACATCTACATGAAAAACACCTGGCTCTGTTGACTCAGAGACTGCTGCCTACGTGATGGGGTTAAAGTCTAATCAGAGCAGACTTGAGCTGAGTGGAGTCTGCCTCCCCCTCACCTCTCCATACCATGCTGGTTGTTTCCTGTTTTCTGTACTCCGCAGTCTTGCTTAACTGTCTCAAAGTCCATCTTGTTCATCCCTATCTAATCAGAGATATTGTTTATTAAGTGGTTTGTTTTCCCCATTCACCTCCAGCCCTCACCCCCAGTGCATAGGGCCTGGCCTTTAAACCCAGTGAACAAAATCACCTATATTTCTGGCTCCACAGCAGTGTCTGGAGACATGTACACCAGGGAGGGTATGGAGGGTAATGGGTAGAACAGACTGAGGCTCACAGAGTGCATGGAGAGGATTGTACAGGAAGGGTTCGCTGACTCCTTGTTCTTCACATTTAAAGCTAGGCTGCAGCAAACACCATGACTTGGGATGAGAATCAGGCAAACACATTACTGTTACCAAACCCCAAACCTCTGTGGCAATTTCAGTAATGGGGATAGCAAGCAAAGATACAACTTTAAATCAGGCTGCTGGGGGGCAAACTTTCTGAGCTGTGCAAAATAGCTCTAAGAGGACATGAAGACAAATGCAGTAGTCATGACACTGCCTTTCTGTTGACATTTTGTTTTTTAAAAAGCAAGCATTTAAACAACTGGCTGCTGTAATGGAAGACACTTAACTGTTTATTATCTATCTGTTTATCTAAGCAACACAGTGTCCCCCAGAAAAGCATACTTAGGTGCTGCATGTTAACACTGCAAAATACAAACTATAACTGAAGTGGGCCACTCTGCTGAAACGCCCTCTGTAGATGCAGTTTTTGCACATGCTGGAAGAACACTGGACACCATGGCAGAAAGTCAAAGAGAAAGTAGGCACTGAAGATTATATAGCTGCCCAGAGGCTTACTAACAGGGCAGGACAATACAACACTCATTTTTATTTGTCAACATTTAAAAAATCATCACTGGCTACTACACAGCTGGGAATGTGGCATTCATAGCTTGCCATGCAGAGCAAAGTCTTGGGAATGCACATTGATAGTCCTGACTCTTAGCCTACAGGTCCGTGAATAAACTGGCTGATGGGGCAGATTCTCCTGAAACATGAGCTGTCATGACAGATAGTTTGTGGAAATGAAGTTACTCTGGCAACAGAGACACCTGCAGTGAAGAAACACAGGCCATGGAGTACCTAATTCTGTATGCATTTTTGTCAGATGTATGTTTTAGTTAAGATTATTCAGAACCACATGTTGGGCTCTGCCATCTGCTGTATTTGGATACGTCATCTATACAGCTGGTGTGGAAATACACAAGAGAAGCTCTTAACTTTGGGAAACTGCCACTGCCTCTGTAACTACTACTGTTTCCCACGGAAAATTGCCTTTTTTTTTTTTTTTGTGAAATACATAGCCTTTCCATTCAAAAGTATACTAAGGTTAAATTCAGCACTTAAGAGATTGATGATGTCTTGGGTCCCTATTAAAGTGCCTCAATACTTGATTGGAGAAGGCCTTGAGTAACCTGATCTAGTAGGACCTGCTTAGAGTGGGAAATTGGACCAGGGACTTTTGAGAGGTCCTTTTCAACCTGAATTGTAGAATCTGAATTATTACATCCATGCAGATACACAGAGAAGCATGAACACAGATGTATCTTTCCTAGTCAGATATAGTAAGTAAAAATATGGGTCTGCCTGTCATGAAATTGAACAGTGTCATACAGAAGGAAGAGATAACACAGTTTTAATAGAAAGGTTATTTATTTGGTAGAGTTTGCTTGTAAGTATCTTCAGAAAAAAAGTAGTTCACCCTGCGTCCAGCCAAATTGCTGTTGGAATACCCTGTGTGGCAAGTCACAGCTCCTCAAAACTGAAAGGAAGGCTTTGTCCTCTCTTTAATTTTAATGCTTTCTCGCTAAGACATTGACCCTACTGCAGTTACAAAATCCACTTGGGCTTCCAGTCTAATAAGGATCTATCAATTTATGCTTCATCTTCTGCCAGAATCATGCTTGTGTTGGACCAACTTGGAAACAAAGGTAGTTTTGTTGAATAACTTCCCCTGAGTTGTCTTGGACAACAACACATTGAGTCCTGCTGTCTGGCCCATCAGGAAAGACTCCTCTTGTGCAAGCAGTAGTTGCTGCATTGAAAAATAGTCTCTGAATTATTTGGAATGAACAAATAACAAGAAAATCCATATTGTTTGTTTCAAAAATAATCACTACGTTTGTTTTAATGTGAGTAAAAGCAAACTCTCAAGGCCATGTTTCAAGGAGTTAATGCTGGGCCTTGCACTTATGTAACATGAAATATGCCAACTCAGCTCCACTTGCGTGGTGAAAAAGAGACCAAAAAGGCATGTGTGTTTGAAACTGCCCAAACTGTGGAACAAAATCCACCAGGATTAGGAACTCACAGTAACCTCCAATTTTTTGTTCCAAGGGCAAAGTACACTTCTCTGACTTGTCATTTCTAATAAAACATGGCACAGGAAAACAAGAAAAATCAATCTGCTCGTGAAAGTTGAGAGGCAGCAGCAGTAGGAACACTTTCCTGACACACCACTTGAGCATGGCTGGCACTGAGCAAGTACCTGAGTAACTTGGAAACAGTCCCCAGGAGGCTCAGTAAAAGCAGCACCTCTGTTGTAAAGGCGAACTGAGCACTCAAGGAAATTATTCCAGAAAGATCTGAAGAATTTATTAACCTGCTCCATGTACAAAGGAGTTCATTCTCAATGGGTTTATCTGAAACTCTCTCACAAGCAGGTTCAAGCTGCTTGGTGTCCCAGTCAATTTCTCTCATCTCTTATGCCCTGAAAATTGTCTTCAGTTTAGAAGGGATACGTCAAATTAATGTTCTTAACTTTCAGCTATGAAGCTCAGGAAAATTATTTATCTCCCCTGAAATTCTGGGATGACAAAGTACTACAGGACAAACAGGGAAAATAACTTTGAGACAAACAGTTAAATCATTTCCCACATCAAAACATTTATTAACAGCATATAGTTAATCGGTTTCTTTTCTAAGGTTTCTTTCTTTTCCTTCCCCCTCTTTCCTCTCCATGTTCCATTCATTGTACCTTGTTGTGAGATTTTCTTTGCAGGGAGTATGAATGGACTCTCATGAAAAGAATAGGGCACTTGCTGGATTTGTGTAGTACAAAAAGAGTGAAGAAAAAGCACACAGCACTGAAACATTCACAGCTGAAGGTGCATAAACAAGGTGTATTTCCTCCCATGCACAAGTGCTTAATGAAATATACTCAAATCTTACCATATTCCTATAGTACTGGAAAGCCTGAGAATAGGTTTGCCCACCTGACATTGTGAGCACTCTGGTATCTTTGACATTTCCAGCAGCTAAGAAAAAATCGTGGTTCTGCCTGTGCAATTTTTCCTGTGTCCTCTGACAGAGAGGTACTTTGCCTTTGAAATTATATGGAAGCCACAAGCAGTTTTTCCTCACATCTGAATTCCAAAGGTATTATAAAAGTGTCCCAGCTAATTACTAAGAGAGCAGAGGACTGTGCTCTGTTGTGAAGCCTTTTCTTGGCTAACTGACATTATGCATTTGTGTTGTGGGATATCCGTCGCACACTAACAGCTGGAGGTTAGCAAATTTTTGTGGTTTCATCTCTCATGAGTTTTATGTCCTTCATACGTATAACCAGACCCGTTGACAGCTTAAGGCATAAATCACCCAAGAGAGACAGGGAAAGAAAATTCAAAGTAAAGCTTTTCCTCCACCAAAAAGAAAAGGTGAAGCAACCCCACTGACCAAAACTCGGCAAGAATACTGTAGTCGGTTCATTCCAAATATAGGAATATAGTTTCAGAAACAGTTCAACCAAATTCCACATGGAAGTGAACTTGACTCAAAGCCTTCTAAAGTCAAGGTTGGCTTTTCATTAGACATAAACATTCTGGTGCCAGTTTTGATCCTGTCTGGGATCTCTTATCATCTGCATGGCTTTATATTTAACTGTGCCCAAAGCTGTGGGACAAAGTACCCATCCCAAATGCTTAACAGTCAGAGCACATTAAGTTAATGGGTGAGTATCAGAGTGGCCCCTTCATGTGCTGTGCTACTGTTATTATGAACAGCTAGTTTCATTTCCTTTGGGTATAATAAACAGCTTGCTTGGCAGCAAGTTCTTGCTTGCTGCCAAGAGCAGTGAATAAACCACTTGGGCTGAGCTGTGAATTTGAGATCCAAAATGAAAGAGAGATCCTGCACAATAGCCACACCTGATCTAATCTTTCCTTTAGCTCTGTGCTCATCAAAAGTCAAGGTAAATTCATGTTGAATGTCTTAAGTCCAGTCAGCAACTAATAAGACCCTTTTTAATGATGTGGATACACTACAATTAGTGATGATGCTAACCAGCACAGTAGTCATCCTATATTGTTCATAATGTCTGTATTGTGTCAGTGAAAACGTGCATTTGTGATCTGGCTGTGTAACATCAATGGCTGCATTCTGCTTTCCTATTCCTGCCTTCAGACATGACCTTTAATGAAGCAGCAGCAGCTTTGTTTTTAGGAGCCTCTGTTCCAGGAAGAGTGGGAAGGATGGAGGTGCAGATAGGATCTGTAGGGGGATACAGTTACAAACAGAGGGTCTGTAAAATTTAATGAATATAGGTGAAATTTTTGAGAAGGTTCACATAAACCACTGCTGCTTTTGAAGCGTCTGCTCAAAACCACAGTTTTGAAACAGAAACAGACAGAAGGCAGAGATCAGACCTCAGTAAGGATGGGAAAATAAGGGCTTTTCCTCCTCACTAGTTTAAATTTGAAACATTCAGTTTGTCCAATATTTCTGTTGCCCTAAGGTGAGGACTTCTGTGACCAGTGTAAAAGAAAGCAGGCAGTTATAGCTGTTTATATTGGTGTAAGAGCTTTTCCTTAATAATGATTAAAGAAAGTTGACAATCCACACCCCCAGCTGGAATCCTCCATTCCCCTCTCACATGGTGCATAGTGTTTAGGTCCAAGTATATATTAAACAGGGTCTGTACATATGGAAGTTTATTTTTTTGAGAAACTTCTTTCTTTTAAATAGACTTATTCTTTGTTCACCTGGAGGCACAGGATGCCCAGTGATAGCAACGCAACATCTGAGTTTGCACACTGTCTGTCTGCTCAGTGGCAAGCTCTCTGGGCTGCGTGTCTGCAAAAGCATGAAAAGGTCACAGCAGCTTCGGGTTATCATTTAGGCGAAGACTGGAATACATTCCCACGTGCCGGACCAGATTGGGTTCTACCACGTAGGCGTTCTCTCCCTTAGAATGCAGCAGAGAGTAGAGGGCAATATCCTTAGCAAAACCCTGGCGGCAGTGCAGCCCCTTCAGGTAGCCTAAGGCACGGCGGGCAGATGGAGCAGAGAAAAGCATGGCAGGTGTGCAGCATTCAGTGACTGGCACGATATTATACAGCGTGGGAGCCAGCCGGCGCAGCTCCAGCATGTAATGCCGTCCCACCAGCTCTGACAAGGCCATGCTGTATAAAGCAAAGAACAAGACAAGGGGCCAACAGAAGCTGGGGCGCCCAGTTGCCCAGGAGTACAGCCAGTTCAGCATGGGTCCCAGAAGCATGCCCAGACCTAGCCACTCGAGAATTCTCATGGGTTCAGGGTTAAAGTAGCGCTGAAGCCTCTCAGGATGGTAAAGCTTGAAATAGAGTGCATCTCTGAGGTATGGTTTGGAGAACCGGACCAAAAAGAGGTGCTGCAAGACAGCAAATATCTCCTCCTCTGGCACAGCATCATCTTCCACTACAAGGATGTATTCTGGGTTGTACGCCAACAGTGACTGCTCAAGGCAGAAGACATAGTCCTGCTTCTCCTTCTCAAACTGGTTCATTCTGGGGTCAGGGTTCTCACCTGTTCTGTCATAACTGACCATAGGAAAGAAGCTGCTCAGCAGCCTGACATCCTGATGGCTACTGGGGTCTGACTCCACATTACAAAGGAGGATGCGGTGGCTCTGACAACGTGCACCACATATCTGAAGGAGACGGTGGAAGCGAGAGGCCACTTGCAAGACATAGTGGAAATCATTCCGCCTCTGCACAGTGATAATGGTGACAAGCAGCAAGGGCTGGAAGGCATCACTGCCAGAGGCCTCGGAGGTATTTGATATCTGAAGCTTCTCAAAGTAATGGAGCGCAGCCTTGCCCTCCTGCCGGTTCTGCTCCAGGAACTCCTGACTCATGGGGTTCAGGTGCCACTGCCGCAAATAGAAGTAAGAGTGGAGGAGCCGGTGGCAAATCAAAGGTGCAAGCACACCAAATGTCACCACAGTCAGCGTGAGGAGATGGATAAAAGGACTGGACCAACGCCACCACCTCCCATACAGCTGCCAGGCTTGGTGTAACATGGCTGCTGTAGGAGGGCATCCGTGCTTTACTCATGCCCTCTTTCCTTCACTTCCCACGCATCTTCCCTGGATTGCAGAGTATCACTGGGGCAGTGGCTGCCAAACCTGCATAAGCTGTCCAAACCTAGAGAGGAAGAAAAGAGTTGGTTAATGAAACAGAAACTGTCCAAGTGGGAAAACGTGATTTGGCAAAATGGAAAGTTGTGCTAGTCACTGAGTAAGCCAAAATAAAAGGTGTCTGAGGAGTGCCTTGTGGTGGGGGCATCACAGAATTGTCATGAGAGGTTGAAGAAAGATAAGACAAACTTAATTTCTAGCAAAGTGCCCTTAACACCTTTTCAGCATGTAGGAGCTCTGATCTGACCTAGCTAGACAGGACTTTGTTTTGTTTATGATGCTTCAAATGCAAAACAATCAGGCAATGTACATGCAGGATGTGTGGAAATCCCTTTGTTTCAAAGTAGAGACTATAGATACAACTATGTGGTCACTGTGATATAGTAAGACTTGGGTCATAGACATGAACCAAAGCCAGATCTCTTGTATCTCTAGCCTAGCACATATCTGAAAGATAAACTTTTCTCTCTGTGGAATGACATGTTTCCCTTCTGTTGCCCACACACTTCCAAACATGTCTTTTCACTTTACTACTCGCCGTGTGAAGCAAGGCAACAAAGATACCAATTCACTTCATTAAGGGCATGTGTATGCTAACGGTAATGTGTGTGTGTGTGTGTCTCAGATGTCTCCTCCTCTCTAGACCTTGTGAAATACAGTCACAGCAAGATTAGCAAGTTGCAATTGAGCCATTGACTCATATTTAAAGGTTTTTATTTTAAAATTATATGCCTTTAAAATCAAAACATATATATAAATATGTGGAGTGGATGTATACGCAGACACTATAAGCAAACATCCACCTTCACAGAAATTAATTTTGCCATACTTTCTTTTCTGTTCTTCTCTGGGCTGTCACAAATACCTATCAGCCTGCCTGTCAGAAGCTTACACAAAATCAGTGCAATTAGGCTGTTAGATGAATTCTCCTGTGCCAGTGATTTCCTTTTTTAACCTGCTGCTTGACTCTCCCTTTCACTTCCCATTCGCCCTCCTTATGAACTGGGTAACTCATGCCTCCCAGCTGACTGACTGTGTACCACTCAGTGCAGAGTTGCTGTATTTTTTAACCTTCTGCTTTCACCAAGTTCTGATCATCAAGTGGTGCTCCCAAGGCCCTTATTCCTTCTCTTCACTGTCATCTGAAGCAGCCTAAGCAATGATGTGTGAATGGAAAGATAACAGGGCTGTGAGTTTGCTTCTCTGTCTCAGAAGAACAAACCATGTAGAAGAAATGACTCAGATGATACCAAGAAGGATCTAGTTCTAGGACTACTTCAAAACTGCCTTCGTTATTGTAGTCACATATTTGCTGTATTTACCATTAAGAAAAATCTGACTGATATGAAAGTCCTTTTACTAAGATTAATGGAAAATACGTGAGAGCTGTGCCAAATATTTGCTAGAGACCAAGTACTTCATGCTGTGAGATCTCAAACCCTCCTTGGATAGACTGTGGCATCAGTGTTCTGCTCTTATTCACGAAAACACAAGCCTTCAAAGATCAGTGTAATTAAACAGACGTGACAAATTTGCACACCACTGCATGAGAATCTGCAGTGTCTCCCTATATAGCTTTTTTAATTTTTTTTTTCATTTTCTGATTACACAATCCTGTTTCAGAGATACTGCATTGTATTGCATAAGTGAACTTTGTAACTTAAAGGTAGTGGTAGCATTTCATTAGTTTGATTCAGGACACAAAGACCTGAAATCCATCACATGCAAAAACCTGGCATTTAAATGTATTTATTCATCCAAAATCTAGGGCTTTCCTTTTTCTCATTTTCTGCTAACGAGTCACAAACATTAAGGGAACACACAGAATACAGAATCATACTCTACAACTCAAACTGGCATAAAAAATCCCTCACACTTTGAAGCCTTTTCTTGATGCGAGCAGCATTGCTGGCACTATCACTGATCCAGCCTCCAAACTTGGAAGGGAGGACCACAGTGGGAATAGGAGATAAAGAAAAGCTAGAGGGCAGTTTAGATCTCGGGGAGGAAAGAAATTCATTTTTCATCTGCTGGCTAGGCTGAAGACCTGAGCCTTCAGTAAACTCTGTAATTCTTGGGATATACATGATCCATTAATAATCACCACCCAAGCAAGAGGCCTCCTCCCGTGTACCCTCTTCTACTGACGTGGGAGAAGTGCGTGCTGTGTTCCGCCTGCGGCAGCCGCCTCACAGGGTGAATCAAAGGGAAGCCTGCCTGGGGGCCTACCGTTCTGCAGCCTGTGCTGCTCAAGGGCCGAGTTCACCCGCACCACCACAAGGGCGGGCGGCCTGCCAGCCCGTGCTGCCCCGCCCCTGCTGCTGGGAGCGTTGTGCTGGGACTCCACCTGCTGGTGTCCCGGCCCCGGGCACACCGGATGGCGGAGGTTAAGCACCCGGGGGCATGTGTTTCCTCGCTTCTTTTGGGGAAGCAGCCATGTCTGCGAAAGCACGCAGGCCTCGAGGCAGACCACGCGGCTCACAGCGGCATACTCACAAGCGTTTCTGATTTATCCTGGCTTCACCTCATCAGTAACACAAGGACCTTGGCGCTCTTAACGCTGCTTTTGCAAGTCCCAGCACCCCAAGGGAAACATTTTACTTCTCCCAAATCTCCCTCTGCTGCCTGTGCTGCTAGCTTGCATTCATATTGACCGTCAGTCAGTTTTAAAACATTCTCAGTTTATTTGCAAAGGAAAAGGCTGTTTTCACTGGGCAGTGGAATACCCACAGAGGCTAAAAATAGTTCAGAGTATTTTAACGTGAGTCATACTCCAGTTCATACCAAAACCAAGCTGAAAGATCTAGGAAAGAGGTGAGACACCAACATCCCCATTTTCTGGCTTTAACACTGGGAAGCCGAGAGTTTCAGATCTATGATAGAAATTTCTTGCTTCTATAGAGGCAAGGTTTGATATTATCTCAGGATTTGAATCCAGAGTTTCTGGTCAGACTGTTTTCTACCCCTTTAGAATGGTTCTGACTTTACAGAAGCTATTCTGTTTTCAGAAGCTGTTGGCACTGTCACTTTAACTTTTTCCCCCTTTTTAGGGTGGAAAAAAACATTGCTTGTTCTTCAAGTATTTAAGTGGAATTTCTGGCAGCAAAATGGAGTTTGAGGAGAAAAGCAAAAATCTGAATTGGATTTTACAGTACTTTAAAAAACACTGTCTGAAACCTGAATAGTAACTACTTTGCAACCATGTAAATACTTGCAGTGGAAGCCACTTTTATATGTGTTCTGTGTAAAACAGAGATACTGCTTAAACACCTTTAGAAGTTGTTGCGATACAAAGCTATATATTCAGCTTAGTTTTTTTTCTTAGATCATGATGACAATTCTTTCCACAAACACCTAGATCACCTGCTTCCAAATCTACACTCCCATCGTCATTAATCCCCTAATGAAGATGGGTGAATTGCCTCTGCACACACTTAAGCAGAGTAGAAAAATGAGTAATGTCCTCTTTGGGCAGGGTACTGTCTGCTGTGCTAGTGCTTTAAAAGAGAAAGCTGGTTTTGTCTTTTTTGTTTTGGTCTGCTCCCAACTCCTTTGCAGAGAGGTATTCCCACAGGCAGGTATGCATTCCTGGTACGAAGCTTCATATGTGTTTCAAAGCTGCAAAATTTTAGGTTTCTGGATAAGTAATGTAAGACAGGGCATCTGTCTTCTGCTACCTGCTCTTTGAGACAAGGCCGTAATTGTTCCCTTATGATTAAAATAATAAATGGTTCCTTTGTCAGTGTTAATAGGAAAAGCCACTCCTTTCCTAAAACAAAAACAGCTGGATGAAGTCATGTGATCAGAAGCCACAGAGTCAGCTCTGTGGGAAACAAAGGTAGGATCCTGCAAAATGTCATGGAAAGGCCAACTATTACTGTCCACCCCCCCAGCCAGTACAGTAGTAGTAACGGTGTTTGTGGGGGTTGGAATGTATCAAAACTGTCAGAGACCATGGGAAGGAGAAGCTACAGCAGGCAATTAAGAATGACCATGGAAAGGAGGAACTGCAGCAGGCAATTAAGAGTGACCCGTCCCTGACTGGTACTTGGAAGATGTTGGAACTGGCAGGGAACAAGGACATCGGACTGGGAAGAGGATGTCAATAAGAAAATCAGATAGACCGTTCACCTGATGTAACCGCAAGTCAAACACAGATGTGCTTGGCTAATTGCTTGGAAGCATATAAATACCGTGTAATCTTTGCAATAAATGATCCAGATTGCACTCTATCTCTGGGTCTGTGCCTCCATCCTCACAAATGGGGCCCAAACAGGAACAAGACAGAGAGCCGTGACTCGGTGACTGGTGAGGATACCCAGCCAAACTCCAAAAGGCTGCAGCAATTAACCGATACTAAGCAGCTGGGAACGGGAACATGGGAAACTCAGTATCCCCCGAGCACAAGTCGGTGTACAGAGTATTAGTAAAATTCCTAGCGAAGAAGGGGGTTACTGTAAATGAAGATAAACTGGAAAACTTATTAATATGGATAAACTGAAAGACTTACTAATATGGGCCTTGGCCTATGCCCCAGAGGCGACATCAACTCATATTTATCGGAAGGGAGTATGGGACAAGATTGGGGTGTACCTTTGGGCCACAACCACAGGTGATGATGTGGCAGCACCCAAATTTCTGGCTGTATGGCGCTCAGTCTATGAGGCACTTGACAAGGCAGTACAGGAAGCATTGGCACTGTCAACCCCTTCTGTCCCAACAAACAACACCCCTTCTGTTCTTGCAAGCAACACTCCGGATATTCTCGACTTGGGGCCGACAGACCCAGAAACCGAGCCAGATCTATTCCCGTCTGATCCTGGCATTGGCTGTCGTGAGGCGCAAGCTTTGCTGGTGCTCACACACCCTCCGCGCTTATCGATCTGTGGGAAGATATCCGCCGGCAGGCTGCAACAGCAACTGAGCCATACAAAGATGACCCTTTTGATTCCGGACCAATCGACCCTGACAGAGAACCCTGCCTCTACCCCCCTGACCCGCATGATA